AACTCGTACTATTTTTATCACATTATCTTATATATCAGGTTGCCGGACAACGGTACCAAGGTAAAACTTTTTACAGCCAAAAAAGTCAGATTTTTTCGATATTTTTAATTTTTTCACCTATACCTCCTAAACGGTGCATCAAACCGAAAAATATATGCTTTAATAAATTAAGGAACGTTAAATTTTGCGTCAAACGAGTACATAAACTTTATAATTTGGTTAGCCGGTAAGGTATAAGACCACGGTCAACCAAAGCTGATTTTTACCAATTTTTTCAAAAATTGAGACAAATTACTATATATGGCCCTGTAACTTGTAGATCAGTTACCTAAGAGAAAAAACGCAAAGAATCAAAGTTGCAGAGCATCAAATTCTGCGTCAACTGATTACTGACCTTTTTATTTTTTTTTTGTATTTCTAAACCCATATATACAAGTTAAAGAAAATAAAAACTTTTCTCATATTTTTCGCAATGCATTTCCCGTTTCGATCTTCAAATTATTGGCCTAATATTCTTTAAATTAACCGCCAAATTTTTAAAGCAGCGGCTCTGGAATGGCAGGCAATGTTCTTCTTATTTAGAATAACACATACTTTCGTAATTTATAATCAAACCTTCGTCTGCAATCAGATCAATTTTTGGGCACTGACTCCAGGGCTTGATAATCGCCCTGTCACTCTCTTTCTTATGTATGTTCAGATTAGTATGAAATCTTTAATATTCATTATTTGTTAATTAACAATTGCACGGTGGAAGTCAACTGGGTGTTGTTAGTCACATACCATGGTGCTACTTTCATTAATTTAATTTAAGATTTTTGAGAATATAATTTCATAACAATTTCTGTAAAAATTAACTACGCAGCCTATGTTCACTTCAGTCTGCATCTTATTTACCGGAAGGAAACCAATAAGTTGTTTATTTATGATTAAATATTATGTGTAATCCCTGAATGAAAATAAATCTCATCAGGTGGCGAGCAGAATGTGCAAATGCTACTCTGAGTGCCGATTACCACTAGCGGATTCAGGATTTAATTTTTGGGGGGGGGCTTCAGCCCGAAAGAATTTTTTTCATATATATAACGGTAATTAATTTTTTAAAAAAAGAAGAAAGAAATGAACTACCTATATGAAATGGCGTTTAAGTGATTCTTGAAGTCCTATTAAATGTAATTACACGACCAATAATACTTTAAGAGATAGTTTTTAATATTTTTTTCTATAAAACATGGTTATATTTTACCATTTTAAATTGTAAATTAATTAAATTAAATTGTAAATCCGCCTGTGCCGAGTACCAAGTACTTTGCTCAAATTGAATAACTATTGGGAATTTAATCACTACTTCAGTTAATCGTTTGACATGAAGTTGTAATGAAATTCTGTGGTACTCAAAACAGGTCAGTATTTGAGTAAAATACTTGGTATTCAGTATTGAGAGTAGCATTTGCCCATCTCCGATGGCGAGGAGACTTCAGCCATATTTTTCGTTGCTTTCTACGAGAGAATCTACGGGGAGAGGGTGGTTTGGGGTTGAAGTTCCCTCCTGCTCCCCCAAAATGGTAAAATTTAACCATGTTTTATGGAAAAAAATATTAAAAAATTATCTCTTAAAGTAATATTGTTCATGTAATTACATTTGAAAGGACTTTAGGAATCACTTAAACACCATTTCATATAAGTAGTTATTTTCTTTCTTTTTTTCCTTAGTAATTATCGTTTTTTTATGAAAAAAAAGCTTAAGGGCTGAAGCCCCCCCCCAAAAAAAAAATAAATCCTGGATCCACTAGTGTTACTTTCTAAAGTGTGAGTCATTCTGTGCAAATTCAGGAGAGTCTGACGAATTCCGTGATGAATACGGAGTCTTCAGACAACCCCACACTTAGCTGTTAATATAATGTAAAGTAGTATTCCAGAATCATAATTACTTCAATTAGAAACGTTCCGATTGAACTATATTTTGACTTAAGCGGCTACGTAATTATAAATAAAATTATCTATATAATTGGATGTAAACATTTGTATAAGAGAATTTTACCTAATTCTGATAAAAGATTTCGTGATATGTTTCTATTAAAAATTTATGAACGGAAATTAAATCGCTGCCATTCAGAAACAGACACAAAGAGGCAGTGGCATTGAACTTGACACGCTAAGGTTGTATTTATTTAACGATTCTCATCCTCTATTAATAAAATGAAATATATCCTTATCTTTTTGATTTAAATCCACAATTGTGAAGAAAAAAAAATGCTGATGTTTAGCATGATGATATTGATGGCTCGTTAGTAACAAAGAGAATTTAAAAATTACTTATGAAAAAGATACTGATACGGTGTGAATGTACTTTTTCCTCTCTATAACTAATGCCCATATTATGACAGAATGTTGTTCCATAAAACTGTAGATATTGTCGCAATTTTTAATAAAAATGAATATGCCCGCTTTTCATGAGACAAAAAAGAACTTTTTAATTTCTAATATTTTTTTATATCTACTTGTACGTTTTTGGAACGATTTATCCTCCTCTTCAGCATCTAATATGCCCCAGTATTTGGGGAGTCAAAGAATTGTAGGTATTGAATAAAAGGTCTATGTACAATCGTTTCTTAAATTATGTCTATAATCAAGATTATGAATAAGTAATAAAAAATATAATTTTCATTTTATAATTGATATATTTTTATTAAATATTATTATTATTTTTTTAAACAATGAACAATACTTCCTTTACAAATAATAATGTATTAAAAATTTTAATGGACTATGTTACCAGCCTGTTAACTAAAAAAATTACACTACAAATGTAACTTAAAGGGTATAACTATGCCCTATAATATTAAATAATAACCAATTAAACCCTAATATTAAAGATAAATCTGAATATGTCAATTATAAAAAGTAAATAAAATGAGCATCTTTAAATAAACAATTGGCTAAATACATACACCCTTCCGAGTTAAAAAAAAATCAGTGAAATCCTCTAGTTTTAGAATAGTTAGCAGTTAACAACCATATATAAAATTATACTTTACAAAAATGTTTGTACATGAAAACACTGTAGAACCACTACTTATTGAACTTTATTAGACCAAAATTCTAATTTATTTATTTATTTTATTTATTGTACATAGAGTGTGAATGTGATCTCAGAACACTATTATTAATGGTCCTTGAGACAAATTGTAATATTTTTCAATAAATAAGTACTTCTAGTAAATTATTAACATTAATGTATTTCAAAGACGATCTCTGTCTTTTTAAACAGCGATTCAGTGATCTACAGGACAAGTTACATGCATTAAGCCGTCAATAAGCCGTCAGCGTCAATAAAACAAAGGAAATGAGCTATGTCGGAATCCACTTGTTCTGAGAGATAATACCGTAGAGCGGGTGGAATAGTTCATATACATGGGAAGCGTGATCACAAACGAAGAGGATTCGTTGGAATCAAAAAAGCAAACGGGACGTTAGTTAATCTTTACTTATTATAAAAGAATAAGAAATTGTCCAAAAATAAGACTGTAACGAAAAGCCCTGGAGTCCCACAGAGCGACTTCCTGCCCTTCTCGAAATTACGAAAAAGAAATGGAAATGGATAGAACAAACTTTGAAGAAATCAGATAATGCCATCGAGAAAGAAGCTTTGCAATGAAATCCCCAAGAAGAAGAAGAAGACTTGGAGAGATATGGCGCAGATCTGTTCAAAATGACCTGAGCCGGTCAGGCAAGACTTGGCCAAAAGCAAAAATGATTGATGGCAAAAAGAGCTGAATAAAACGCACTTGTAAATGCTCTATACTCCACCAGAAGTCAACGGTCAAAGTAAAAATAATAATTAATAAATTAAAAAAATTCTATTTTTAAAATTCGTGACTTAAACGTGGTGGTCATTCTGAAATCAAATTAAAACAAATACTTATAGTCTGTAGTACAGACCTTCGATAGCATAATATTAACATTCTTCAAAAACTTCGTAATCAGCTTCATCTGATCGTAACCTACAAATATTTTATTTAAGAAAATTCTCGGCATTCAATCTGGAGATCGGCAAACTTTATCTATTTAATTGAGTACCTCATGAATTCCCATTTGCTTTTCACTTAAATCGTGAGATAATATGATCCCAAAGTCGAAAACAAATGTAGCCTACAAACATATTGGCCCGTTTGGACTGATCCCTACCCCGAAAAAGTTAAAATAATGAGATTATATAGGACATACGCCCCAATATTTTTGTAGGCCACCCTTTTTTTTAATTTTTTTATCATGTTATCTTACGATTAAAGTGGAAACCAGATAGGTATTCATTAGTTTTTAATACCTAATTAAATAGACAAAGTTTGCCGATCTCCACATTGAAAACGCCTCAATTCTGAGAATATTCGTAAATAAAATATTTGTAGGTTACGATAAAATGAAGCTATTTACGAAGTTTCATTCGGATTTTAATAATTAGATAAAAAGGTGTCTGTACCACGGACTATTACAATTAGTTTAATAAAATAATTCATTAAATAGTACGCTGATTATAATCAGCGAACTCCATGGAGCATAGGGAAGCCTCAGTAAGATTAGGCAGAGCTAATTAAGGCAGCAACAATTTTTTATATTTTATTGTTGCTATTTTTATTTATCATTGAATACACTCAGCCATATACGTATATTCAACTTAATTTTGAAAGTTTTGCCACCCACATAATTAGATATTAATTAGTTCTAGCTCCAGATTACTAAATATAGCGCAAAAAGGTTGAGAGGCCGCAGCTTCCCCAACTATACTATAGAGTTTGCTGTTTTCGCTATCCTTATTAAATTCGATTTCATGCATGTATGACAAATGCAAATCGCTGGGTGTTACGTGCGAATGCTGTTCTTGTACACCAATATTAATCAGGTAAAACTATACTTGTCCTTATTTACACTCATCAATAAAGAATACTTCCTAAGTAAGAGCTTACTGTAGTTGAATATTAATAGTAAAGCATTACGAAATGTTAGATAAGGATGACCAATGATGGCACGAGCCAATGGCAACAAGAAACCCAATGAGGTGATGCCGTCATCCTCCGCGGTTTCCTAGCCATCTGTTTTAGAAGAGGAACGGCAGATGTTTTGACAATAGAGGAAAACCACTTGGTGATGGAAATCGAATAAACAGCTTTCCATCTGAAGGACATGACGTAATGAGCTGTAGTGTGTTCTGTATACTTTCCCATTATCTCAGTTCTTCGTCATCGGTTCCCTAAATTAGCAACCAACAATATCCAGATGCGGTTTATATACAGGAAGGAGATATCCTGAGGGATTCCCGATCATTTTGCATTCTTTGAAGCTACGGAATGGTATTCCCTTATCTGAATACCGACTGATGGTATCGAACGTACCGTCATGGGACAAAATTACTCAACGTATTTATTAATATGCAGTGAGTGCATCTAGATACTCTGTGGTTTTTTCTTATCAGGTTAGCCACTGACCGCTTCCTTCCAGTCTAGGGGAATGTTATTCTATGAATGTTAATTCTGTTATAAAAATATCGTTGTGGCCAGGGAGTTTGCTGCCGATTGCATTTTTCAAGGTTCAATTAATTTCGTTGTTGAACAAAATCGATTCTCACATTTCCATATGGGCTGGAAAAGGTAGATAACATGTGGTACTACTCGCTTTCCTTTTCCTAGTTAGAAGTCATAAAAATATTTAAGCAAATAAATGATAAACAACAAAAGCTATACTGCTATTTCTACAAGATCCAAAGATATAGTTTAACTGTTAGTGCATGGCGTAGGCCCCTTTTTATCAAATTATTAACAGCCTAAAACGTAAAAAAAATTCTTTAAAAAAAAAGGTGGCCTACAATAATATTTTAGGTCAAAATAATGAGGTTATGCAGGTTAAACGGCCCAATATTTTTGTAGGCCATCTTTTTTTTTTTTTGTATTTTGTGATCATATTATCTTCCGATTCAAGTGAAAAGCAAATGAGTATTCATGAGTTTTTAGTATCTAATTAAATAAGTAAATAGATAAAGTTTGTCGATCTCCAGATTGAAAATGGCCCATTACCGAGTATACATACATAAAATATAAAATAAAATTTGATGGTTATGGTGGGATGAAGCTATTTACGAAGTTTTAGGAGGATATTAATAATTTTATTAGAGTGGGTCTGTATCACGAATTATGTATTAGAAACAATAATTCCGTAAAAAAAATTGAATGAATAGATATCTTGAAGGAATCATTTCCATATCTAGTTTACTATTCCCATTTAATATCTAATTAATTTCTGGAATAAAAAACATGTATTTGAAATACTATGACAAAAAAAACATTCAACATGAGATACATTTTATGATCGAAAACTATTACATTAGTATCAAATAGGTATCTGTTTATGAAAAAAAAAAAAAAAGGAGAATGTGAGTAGGGAACACGACCGTATTCTTTGTTTATCCTGAACTCGTCGATTTTACCGTAATTAAAACAAATAATTTTACAGAGATTTTATTGAGTAAAAAAACATTTTAAAAAAAGTAAATATAAAAAAAAAATCTGTTATTAATAGCAAACCTAATATAATATATTAGTTGGCCCGTGCGAATAATTCGCAGACAATTTTGTTTGTGAAGAAATGGTAAAACAATATGGAAATAAGTAGTTTCTATGTATTATGTAAGGAAGGAATTTATGTTTTTTCCTTAGTCGATTACAATATCACATTAAACATAATTGACGAAAATATTTATTCTTGCTAGGACCTACCTTTGAACACTGCTGGAAAGATAATAAAAGTAATAAAGACAAAATAAAGCTCCAATCATAGGATATTCTAAATTATTAAAAAAATAAAATAAAATAAAATAAGGACAACCAAATGTCTTTAAGAAATAATAAAGTTAATATATCAGCCAGGAAAAAAACGTAGTAGACAATTCTACTCCTAAATTTAATATCTTTAAACAGTAAGAGATTATTAAGTATACAAAAACTAATGGGCTGTATCTTTGTTAATAATTGTCCGTTTTTTACGATTTATTTTATTTATTTTTTGTTTTGTAAGTAATTTAGTAATCTTTCTAATTATCGTGGGTATAATCAATATGCAAAAAATATGCACACTTTTTGAGTTATTCGCAAATAAAGTTTCTTTTCCTCCATAACTTTTATACCAGAAACTTTGGGAGGATGGGATTATTTTTTGCATGCGAAGGAGAAGAATATCTTCAAAATGAGTGGTCATTCATTGGATTTGATGAAGAATTGACGAAGTTATGGTGTACCGACAAAAAACACCTTTTAGAAATAATACATATATAGGATTAGGTTTACAACAACTCAGTCGTATATACTCTACACAAAAAGTAAAATTTTACTTTCTCATGCTTATATATATATATATATATATATATATATATATATATATATATATATATATATATATATATATATATATGTATATATATATATATATATATATATATATATATATATATATATATATATATATATATATATATATCACTACTGTTAGTACAAATGTTAAAATTGAGTTTTTTCATAAAAGCCTATTATTTCTTTATGATTTATTAATGAAAATTTAGATTTTATTTCCGTCTGCTATTTTCCTATTTATCAGGCTACTTATTGCAGTTGCAGACTACAAAATATTACCTTTCAACAAAGGGAACAGAATTGTTAAATACGACCTCTTGCACTAACAGTAGCTATATGTATTTTTTCTCATATCCCCTGTCTCACCTTTTCGGCTATATTGAGTTTTCCTCCAAGTTCAAATAACCAAGTCTCGCAAAATAATATGTATTTATGTGAACTACTCAGCCAAGTTCAAGCTTTCCTTGGACCCACACCACACAGCAGAAGTTCTATTGATTCCGCAATTTCACGTTAAAAATTTTGAAACGAAACCCTACTTACTCTTTGAAACGAACTTTATTAGGGGTTCATTATGCTCTTTTATTAACTCACAAGAAGTGGGTCAAATTCCGTGAAAATTTCACATTATTTCGGTTCTGTGATGACATCAATCGATTCTAAGCCTCAAAATAAATGGAAAATTGCATACCACATATTCTGGTTCAAGCAAATGAATTTTGAATTAACTGACCAATTTATGTGTTTACTATCAATTTAATGTAAAAGTCGATGGAGGTATGATTGAATAGTTTTGGAGTTTTTATTCGATCGATTCTACTCCTTTTTCTGTAAATGTTTTTACTTTTTGAATATAAAAAAAAAAATATATTTAAGTTTCATATTATTAATTCCGCTTTGATGTGTTCACTTTTTTCGTAGTGTTAAGCACACATCGAAGTTTTTCTTTTTTAATAATTGGCTCTATCTGTTAGAAAATATAATTTTTTTTCAAATAACAATAAAGATAACCTTTCTTAAAGTGTGTTAGCTGTAACTGACCCAAGATCTTGCTGCCCTCATCCTTGGAACTTGGTACTGACGACTACAGGATGAGTCATCCGCTTGTAGCCCACGGGCTCTGTAGGTCAAGGGAGGCGGTTCAAGAAGCGGATTTCCCATGAAAGTTAATCGATGTTCAGGTTCTCTGACTCACTCAAAACTCATCGTTTCTTAGTACCCGGGAGCCGCGGAGGGTTTGATGACCCAAGGGAATCAAGTTCGGCGATGATGTCCAATGGCTGGAGTGTATAATCAAGACAAACCTCTTATTATGTAGAATTGCATCATGTTAAAGAATGGCGATTGAATGATTTTATTAATTTCCACAAGGATTCTTTAATATTTATAATGAATATTGTTAGTTATTTTTTTTAACTAAATAGACGATGGTGTACCATTGTTTTTTTTTTTGTTTTTTTTTTTAAAATTAAATAAACATTATAATTTCCAAATAATTTTTTATTACTGCTTTCTTAACTCTGAAAAATGGCCGTATTTTGGAAAAAAAGTCAAGTGAATATGGTGCTGTGGTAGAATATCTATTTTCACAAATCCTAATTTAAAAAAAAAAATATTATAAAGTAACAAACATTATATTATATGACTTAAAAATTGAAGTTTTACCAACTTATTTTCTTGATTTGTCTCCAATTTCAATCAACCAATATCATTCTTTAAGTTTAAGTTGCTTTGACTTCATCATTTCTTTTTTTTTAACGACTCTGGTGCGCACACCAAACAAATTCCAGTTATCGTTCTACTTTGATTATAAATTATTTACTGGCAAAATTAGGCTATTTTAACAATCGTGAAAGTGTATTTATAAGCTCTTAAGAACACATTTTTGAATTTCGGTCATATTTATCAATGCAAGAACTCATTAGGAAAATCAAAATATCTTATACAATAAATTTCATGTCAGAAGTAATCGCACTAATTTTTTTTTTTTTTTTTTTCTATGCCATAGTCATTGGCTATTCGACCATCCGACATCTTGCTGCCCAATATAATTTTGATTTTTGTATGTAATCATTTACATATGTTTGATTCTTTATATCCGTCAAAGCAGGACATTCGTTTAGGTGGTCTATGCAGACCATTTCCCTTTGTTCACATAATTTACATCTAGGATCCTCAGCCACGCCTATCTTGTGCAGATGACTTTGTAGATAGTCGCACTAATGTAAATGTACATTGTTGAGATTTCACAGTTTATCTTTCTATATTTTTTCTCTAAGGTGTGCATATGGGAACGCCATATCTTCGTTTTTTTTTCATACAATGATCAAGCAATCATTTTTGAAGATATTTTCTCCTTCAGGTGGAAAAAATAGTCACTTACACCAAAATTTCAGAAAAAAATATGTATGAAGCAAAAGAACATTTTGTTTGCGAATAACTTAAAAAGTATTAAAATATTATTGAATTCCTTACAAAACACGCACATATATATATATATATATATGGTAATCGATTTGAAATAAGTACATGTGAACCAATTTGTACCGACCGAAAAAAAATGTTTGAGGAGAAGTTGAGTATTTTATTTCGCGAACCGAAAAAGCCTTAAAGTTGAATTAAATATTGAATATTGAAAAATAAAAATTGTCGCATACAATTTTCACATAAGCCGCACCTTCAATTTTTTTTATCGAAAATCACGAAAAGTGTAATAACTACAGAATGACGCCACATTTCCATACGAATGGCCTTATAAACTATACGAAATAATACAAACTAGACGTATTTGAACTGGAGATATAATATAAAAACGTTTGATGAGT